AATGGAGCATTTGGTTCTAAACACACGTTTCATTTTCTGATTTTTTCAAAAGATGAAATACAAATAAACGAAGGGGAAGTGGCTTCGAAAGCTTCGAAGGAAGGACGAAGGGGGCTTCGAAGGCTTCGAAGGTGCGAAGGCTTTGAAGACTTTAAAGGGGAGAACGAAACCCCCTTCACAAATGATTCACAACTAAAGCGGAGTGGTGCAAAGCACTCTCCGTGGCAATTTTTTCAAATTTTCCAAAATGCAAGTTTCAGCACTTTTCAAGGTTTTTGGAGTTATTTTCATTGTTTGCAGGCGTCGCTGGGTTGTTGTTCAGCTCTCTGCAGTGGTCTTAGCAGGAATTTACCCACACGGAATATCTGAAAGCTGCATATTTTCAGAAATTTAAATTTTTGTTTTTGAAAACCATGAAAAATGTGTTTTTTTTCTTTCGTTGAAAACTTTTTTGTTTGCTCCCATTTTACCTGGCAAGATAGCATGTAGGAATTCCAAAATGATTTGTTTTTAAACCAACCATTCCACAGAATGCGTTCTAGATTTTTTGGACGCCGCGTTTCTTACAATGTTTTTTGAAAATTTTCAAAATTTAAAATTTTGATCCAAACCAAGCCGGTTGGCTTAGTTGCAAAAAGTTAGTAAGGCTCATTTTGTTTTCAGATCATTTCGTTAACAATGTTTCTCAAACAAGGAAAAGTTGAAAAAAAAAACATCAATTGATGTTTTAAATTGTGCTCAAGCGATTTTGTTTCTGAACCAAAATCAGTATTCACACTGCAGACTTTGAAATGCTTAAAAACCAGTGTTTCCTGTTTTAAATGTTTTTTTTTTCATTTTTGGAAATTTTGAAAACAATCTCCTTTGACCCAAGGCAACTTTGAAACCAGTGTTTTTCTGGTTTTAAATGTTTTTCATGTTGGAAATTACAAAAATAATTTGCTTGACAGGGCATCTTCAATTTGCCAAGTTTGGTCTTGCCTTGCATGTGTCAAGCCAGACAGCTGAAAAACACAGCCAAAGTTTTTTTGAGGTCATGTTTCTTTGCTGGTAGCTTTGTTCAGCCTTTGCAGGTGCAAACAGGAAAAATGCACGTCAAGTCAAGCAGCAGAAAAAAAAATGGGCTGAGTTTGAAGTCTTGGCTTTGACAAGATGGGCTGCGACGACCCAATTGCAGACCGCGACGGCGACGCGTGGGTGGTGGTGGCCGTGGACATGAGTCATGACTCAATGACTTATGACTCATGACTATGACATGACTTATGACTCATAACTTATGACTCCCATGTCTTTGCACTTTCGTTTGATGTTGGTTTGATGGTAGGTGCGCCGTCTCATCCCTCTTTGAATCTCATTGCTCTGCTTACTGGGGCGCTGTTGCGTCGAAGAAGCAGTGGAGGAAAAAAAATGACTTATGACTTCCACAAAATACATTCTGTTTTTTTTGAATGCCGCGTTTTTTCTAATGTTTTTTAAGATTTTCAATATGTTAAATTTTGATCCAAAGCAAGCCGGTTGGCTCAGTTTCAAAAAGTTAGTATGGATCATCTTGTTCATTTCGTTGACAATGTTTCTCAAACAAGGAAAAATTGAACAAAAATTAATTAACGTTTTTTTTGATTTTGTTTTTCAGGCAAGTTTGTTCAGAGCGATTTTGTTTCTAAACAAGGCATTCCAAAATTATTATTCATATTGCAGACTTTGAAATGCTTCGAAACCAGTTTTTTTCTGTGTTTTAAACGTTTTTTCATGTTTGAAATTTTAAAAACAATTTGCTTTAAAAAACGTAGCAAAAAAGCATCTCCAATTTGCATCTCAAGTATGGTGTGGCCTGCATGTGTCAAGCCAGGACAGCTGAAAAACACAGACCAAGTTCTTTGAAGTCCTGTTTCATTGCTGGTGGTTTTGTTTCAGCCTTTTCTGCAAACAGGAAAAAATGCACGTCAAGCCAAACAGCAGAAAGAAAGATGGGCTGAGTGTGTTTGAAGATTCGACGCGAACAAAGCTGAAAGGAAACCAAGGCAGTTTTTCATTGTTCATGACCCGTGTTTGTGGCCGATGGGTTGCGGCGGCCGCAATGACTCACGTGACTGCCGTGACTGTGGCTGTGACTGTGACTGATTCATGGTTCCTGATTCATGATGATCTCATGACTCATGACTCATGACTCGTGGCTCATCATGATCTCATGTCATGAGTCATGACTGAATGAATGATTGATGACTGATGATTGATGATTCATACTTCACAATGCATAATGATTCATGATGCGATGCGATGATGCGATTATGATTGATGCCAATGCCAGGCAATGCGGCGGCAATGCCAGGCCAGGACCGCGTGCCGGGAAGCCGGACTGCCAAGATGCCAGGGCTCAGGACTCAGGACCTGGCAGGATGATGATGACGACGATGATTGATGATGATGATGATGATGATGATGATGATGATGATGATGATGATGATACAATGACACGATGTGATGATATATGATATGCTATGATCTGATATGATGATGATGATGATGATGATGATGATGATGGTATGATGATG